CCAGTACCTTCTACCCTCAGCTCCTTCATCGCCAGGAGCACCATGAGTACCTTCCGCCCTCAGCACCTTCAACGCCAGGAGCACCTTCAAAGTTTTTCTGGCCACCATAAATGATTTGCAACTGTTAATATATATCAAAACAAAGGTAAACCGATTACCTATCTTTTGATTATAACACCGTTAAAATTGCTTTACGTTCTCATAAAAACTTTGCAACTTTTGTAAACAGCTATATATAAGCAGTGAAAAAGTGGTAAAATTTTGCAAAGTTATAAGAAAAGTGAATTTTTGTAAACCACTTAAAATATTTTTTAACTACTAATATATATCAAAACAAAGGTAAATCGATTACCATTCTTTTGATGATAACATTGTTAAAATCGATTAACTAATTTATACAAATTTTGCAACTTTTGAAAACGTCTATATATAAGTCGAAAAAACGCAGTCAAATTTTTGCAAAGTTGTAATGAAACTGAATTTTTGTGAGCCAGTATAAATGATTTGCAACTGTTAATATATTTCAAAAGAAAGCTAAGTCGATTACCTTGCTTTTGATTATAATATTGTTAAAATCGCTTCACTTTTTTATAGAAATGTTGCAACTTTTGAAAACGTCTATATTTAAGTCAAAAGAACGCAATAAAATTTTGCAAAGTTGTAATGAAATTGAATTTTTGTGAACCAGTATAAAGGATTTGCAACTTTTATTATATACCAAAAGAAAGATAGATCAATTACCTTTCTTTTGATTATAATATTATAACTTTCTTATAGAAATTTTCCAACTTTTTAAACATCTATGTGCAAATGAGTAATACTAATGATAAGAAATTAAGCCAGCGCATATGTATGTATGTAAAAATATATTTATTAATGTTAATTACAAGTTTTATTCATAATATTGATTATTAAGTATGTATATTATGCATTTTGAAAATAAATTTTGCAAAATAAAAATCAAAACTTTTTAGGATTTTTTTATTTAAAGTTTCTAAGGTTATTTTGAATTCGCTGTGAAGAAAATGCAACCCTGAGCCGGCTGAAGGGGGCAATGCTAGACGAGTGCAGCTATATGTTTTCCTTACGAAGTATCTGAATGAGTGCGACAGTGATGCAAGGCTCACACGTATAGGGGGAAAGTGGTGACAATCTGCACACCACCCATACAAATGGCACCAGTTTTGTCACCAGTTTTGAAGTGACCGAAACCCCCGGTTTCACCAGATTTTTCACCACTTTTGGCTGGCAGGGTCATAAAGGGCTTGTGGTGTCATTTGGACGTTTTTTGTATCCTGTTGACGTTTGGACTTTTTTGTGTAAAAAAAATACGTTTTTTAACTTCCCAGTAATTTTTCTCTGTTACTAAATCTACCCTGTTGGATCGGCTTTGCGTTTTGGTCAATGGCTTGTCTAAACTTTTTCTATGTGCTTCCTTTGTTCCGCCGTCTAGTGCTGAATCTTTATATAAAGCGCATGTGGATAATATTCCTGCCTTAGCTTCTAATAATGAAAATCTTTGTATTGTTGGGGATTTTAACCTGTGTGACATTAACTGGTCTAGTTTGGATAATGACCTAGCCTTATATCCTACGAATGTTAACAGTGGCTGTGAATGTTATGTTATTGATAATTTTTTAAGTATTAACCTATCACAAATTAATAGTTTTTCTAATAAGCTACCTAGAATCCTAGACCTTATCTTTATTAGTAATGATTTGAGTTTCACACTTAATGAGTGCCTTGACCCATTATCGACTCCTGGTCTACATCATGTTCCACTTATTCTTCATTTAGAGTTTTATGAGTTTAGAACTATTTTATCGGATAGAAATCCTACAACTTTGATGTTGTAAATGATACGGTTTCATCTGTAGACTGGGATTCGTTATTTGCGGGAGTTGGTGTTTTGGATTGTTTCGATACTTTTAAGCAAGAAACTAATGTAATCTGTGCGGATAATATACCAATATTTATGCACAAAGCTATAAGGTTCCCTGGTATACCAAAGATCTTAAAAAATTTTAGAATTTGAAAAACAAGTTTTTTAAGAAATTTAAACTTTCAAATGCTCTATCCCACAAGGATAAATATTTGCGATACTCCAGAGAGTTTAAGTCGATGAGTAAGGTTCTTAAGCGGAATTATGTTCTTAAATTAGAGTCGGAAATAAAATTTAATCCGAAGGCTTTTTGGAGGTATGTCCAGTCCAATAAATCGTGTTCCAGCATTCCCAGTGATGTGTTTTATGATAAAATGCAAGTTTCTACTCCCTCTGAAGCTGCCAATCTTTTCGCGGATTTCTTTCGCTCTAACTTTGTGAATGATTCGGATCCTTGTGGCGGCTATCCTCAGAGTGCCCAATCTCCCATCAATTTTGGTGCACTTGCTATCTCAATTGATGATGTTGAGGATGGTATCCGGCATATCAAATTTTCAACTCAATCTGATGTTGATGGAATATCGTCATTCCTGTTGAAGAATTGTTCCGCTTTTGCCTATCCACTTTTCAATAAATAGCTTGAATAGGGGGAGTTTATAGATGCTTGTAAGACCACTCTTATCACCCCTGTATTCAAATGTGGCAATAAAAACGATATAAGCAACTATCGGCCAATAGCTAAATTATCAACGATATCCAAATTATTTGAGTTTATTGTCAAACAAAAAGTATATTTTGCTGTTAGTCCCTTAATATCTGTTAATCAGCATGGTTTTATGCCTGGAAGGTCCACTGTTACTAACCTAGCTGTTTTCACTGAATCCTGTTTAACTGCCTTTAATAACCGTCTGCAAGTAAGGCGTTTGGCAAAGTCTGTCACTCAATATTAATTTCAAAATTGGCTAGCATAGGCTTTTATTCAGCTTTTTTATCTTGGGTAAAATCATATCTTTCTTCGCGGAATTGTGTTGTAGCAGACAATGTGTTCTCCTATCCCTTCGTCGCCTCCTCTGGTGTTCCTCAGAAGAGCATCTTGGGTCCCCCACTTTTCGTGATTTTCATTAATGATATTTCTAGTTGCTTCAACTTTTCAAAATTTTTATTGTATGCAGATGACTTGAAAATCTCTTCTACGATTTCTAATGCTTCAGACTCATTCAATCTACAGGCTGATCTTAATAACGTGGTTGCTTGGTGCTCCAAAAATAGATTAAATTTGAATACAAAAAAGTGTTACCATGTCTCCTACTCCAAATCACGTTCCATTACCCAGACTTCTTATCTCATTGGTGACTCGCAGCTTGCCACCATTGGTGAAGTTTCTGACTTAGGAGTAATTTTTGATGCTACATTTCTTTTTCACAGCCACTTAAATGATACCATTGCAAAGTCATATTAAATGCTCGCATTTATCCGTCGATTTAGCTCGGACTTCACTGATCCATATACCATAAAACTACTATACACTACTCTTGTTCGTTCTAAGCTCGACTATGCTGTATCCAATCTATAGCTATGTATCCAAAAATCTTTTATTCGTTATGCTCTACGCTCTCTAAATTTCGTTGACCGTTTCCCATCTTACACTGCTAAATGCATGCTCATAAACCTTAAATCACTGCACAATAGGAGGATTATTCTTTCTCTTACCTTCGTTTTTGACATTATACAGGGTTCGATTGACTCGCCGTTCTTACTCGAACGGATTACATTTAATATACCACCAAGAAGCCTTAGGACTCATGACATTTTTTCTGTGGATTTTGTCAGAAATAATTATGCGAAAAACGCTCGAATCCTATTCGCAGAGCTCTAAACGAGTTTAATTCGCTCTTAAACTCTTCTGCTATCGATTTCTCTTCTTCCAAATCTAATTTCAAACTACTTTTAAATAGTATGCAAGATTAGATATTAATTTATATTTTGTTTTACCAAATAGTCTGTACGAAATGTTTATTTTCTAGATTAATTAATAAATAAATAAATTAATTAAAAAGTGATTATAGCGAGGGAAAAGCCCTTATTCCTGATAATATAAAGGCTTCAAACGTTTAGTACCCTCAAGGCTGTTTTAAACCCGGTTCTATTACAAAAAAATCAAGTTGATAATGAAGAAAGTCGATGGGTAAATAAAGAAGTAATAAGTGGTCATATGAAAATGCGCAAAGACTTTTTGTATGAAAAATTAGCAGGAAATGATGTTACAAATACGCCATGTAACCTGAATATATCTCGAAAACTTATCCATAAAATAAACAAGTAAGAAAGTCTAAGTTCGGGCGGAGACGAACATTAAATACCCGGCGCAAATATTAAATATATGTTTTTTCACCTTTCCGAAAGCTACCGCTAGATGGTAAGCCGGGGTGTATCAATTTTGAGTAAATTAGCGTCCTTCAATTTCGAAATATTGAAGTTTCAAGCATTTCTGAAATTTACCATTATATGAAAAGCGGCCGTAATTTTAGTCCGATTTCAATAATTTTCAACGCTTTGTGGCAAGCACAATAACCACACCGAGTTTGGTACAAATTCGTAGAACTGATATACATATATGTGATCATAAGTGGGCGGTGCCACGCCCATTTTCCAAAA